TTGAATCTTACCCAGTTTCCGGCGGACACCCGTGGCTTCCAAGCTGTTTTCCGGCCAACTCCGGCCACAATGACGGGAACCAAGGGTATATTTCGATTCCTTACCTTCGGAGCTTCAATTTGGTATATTGAATGACATGTTTTGGTTGAGTTTTGAGCTCCAACGGAGCTTGGGAATTCTCCGGCCGAAATCCGGCCTTCTCCCTCTTTGGACTCCGGCGAACACCCAAGGCCTTTGGGCCTTTCCATCCAAGCCCAAAACCTGGGCAGCCCAACCCAACACCCTTTGTAATTAGGCCTTTGGGCCGTTTGTTTTAGGGCCTCTGGCCCGTTAACCCTAAACCCATTAGACCCAAACCCTTAGGCCCAACCCGGATCCAACCCAAGTCCAAACCCAATACCCAAACCCAACTCACCTAAAACCTAAACCCATTTACCCAAACCCAAAACCCTAAAGCCCAAACCCGTGACCCGTGACCCGTTGACCCTGACCGTTGACCCTGACCCGTTGACCGTTGACCCGGTCAACGGTCAGCGTTGACCAGTCAACGGTCAAAGTTGACTTTGACCTCGGGGGTTGACTTTTTGGGTTTTCGTGCGGGACCCCTCCTAGGCTAATTTCGACGTCCTGAACCCGTTTCCGATGTCCGTTTTCCCAAATTCAACCGTTTGAGTAGAGTTTGACTAAATGTACCGTTTATGTGCTTAGGGGCGATTATCTGTGGCGTTTCCTTCTTTGCTAGATGACGTGGCTTTTCGACGGCGAAGTACTGTGAGTGGACCCCTTCTAAAAATGCATGTTTTAATAGTAGAACTGCATACATGAAAAGCATGATTTGATGATTATGTTTTATGAAACGTTTTACGAGATAACATGCTTACTGAGGCTAGTTTGAATTATTACTATTTTTTCCTATAACCCATGTTCTGGTAGAATATCTGATGGATGACGATATGATATTTAGAACATGTTTAGAACACCTCTTTATAGTATGGATGATGGATGACTTTATACTATGAAGTTGATTTTCAATATATGTATGTTCACTGGTTTTATACCTACCTAGTGGTCATTTCCGCTACGGGACGTAGGGATAGATCCGGTCCGTCCCGGGCGACGGTTTGGTGTTGGCATAGGGCCTGGAGTGTGTTTTCCTCTGACTGTCTGCTCAGAGACGGGGAGCCGGCAAGGGGCCTGAAGTGCATTTTCCTCTGACTGTGTGCTCAGAGACGGGGAGCCGGCATGGGGCCTGGAGAGTTATATCGGACATTCACTAGTGTTTATTATTTATGCGAATTATGATTTGAGATATTGCACGACATGCTAGGTTTCGGAAAACCTATGTTTATCATTATATATATGTGTTTTCATAAAACCTGGGGGTTAGTATGTTGATAACTGTTTTATTATATATATGTATATCAACTTGGTCCACTCATGTTTGTTTTGCGCCCCCTTCAGGACTTAGAATCGAGGCATACAATCCCGACGTTCAGACACTTCCGCACCGGCATCTTCGAGTCCTCTTGGTGTAGGACCCACTCCTTGGTTTCATTCAATTTTTTTATTATTTTCTTTTAGTGTTCTAGATTAGTGGTGTGCTCTGAACACGGTCCTTATTTGCATTTTCATTATTCTTTTATATTTATAAACCTTATTTACCCATTGTTTTCAGCATTTGCACTCAATAAATGGCTTTCGTCACCCTCGGGTGTCGGCCAGCACGTGCCTATCCTGGTATTCGGGGAATATCGGGGTCGGGGCGTGTCACCATGCTTCAGGCATGCAACAGATAAATCATTTACTGCATCATTATTATTATTTTTATTTTCAATAGGGACATCAATTCTTGTAGGCACATTTGCAGCAAGGATATGTGATTTCATCACTTTCGTTGCATCATTAATCATTCTCACTTCATTTTTCTCATTGATTGTTTCGTGAATCAAAATAAGACAAATTCTATTCGTTTTTCTAGAACGGTCTTTTCTCATCATTAATCTGGAATGATATTTTCTTTTCTTCTGGAACGATGTTATTTTCTCCCCCTAAACGGCGAGAAAATTGTCTTATCAAAATGATAGTCTGTAAACCACGTGGTAAACATATCCCCAGTCAAGGGTTCTAAATATTGAATGATAAATGGTGTTCAACATTAATGCCCAATCCGCGATGATGCCTCATTTCAGTACGTTGTGCCAGTGTAATAGGCACATAGATAACACAACTAAAAACTCGTAAATATATAATGTTTCGCTAGTGCCTAAACACGAGTTGTACTGAGAAGTATTGATGGTTGGCAACAGGTCTTAACTAAACTAATACTGCATCATGCAAATAACATGTACTCATGTAAAAACTGGCAATTTTGTTTTCATGAGCAGAGCGCAGGTAATCAATTTCATATGTTTAATAAATGCTTCTGTTAAACCATTTTGAGTATGGATATAAAGAACTTCTGGTGTGGACTGAGACTCTTCTGGTCTTTATTATGGTTAAGTTGAGGCACTGCGGCACATTAAACTTACTTTACTCATTATGGAATTTCATGTTTTGATTTGAGGATCAAGGGACTTCATGCCCAATCTTTTTGTATGATGGAACTTTGGGACCAATCATTTTTATATGATAAGATCAAGAAACTGCAGGTTCTAATCTGATTAAAGAAGTTTGAATCCTTATTATACTCATCGTAACAAAAGATAAGTAAAATAAATAAATAAAAGTAATATGCGGTAATTCCAGCCATAGTGAATAAATTGCATTTAAGCAAATAAAGCTTGTGACAAGGGCTTTAATTCAACACCATTTACATAAATCAAAACTTAAAGCAGTAGGCGGTAATACCGTCCATTTTAAATAAATTGCTTTAAAGTAAATAGAACTTGTGAAAGGGTTTTAAACCAATACCAATTCACATAAATAATAACAAGAAGTATCAGACCTCCTTTTATTTATTATCATTCTTTCTTTTGTCAGCACTTATTCAAACCTTGTTATTATTACTTTTCTTATTACTGCAACATAGTGCCATGCACCAATAGAAACCTTTATATTTGTTTTATTTTATTTATTATTTTGACCAAATGGTGTTGTGGACCCTTCAAATCCCTTTATATTATTGTGGAGGTTGCCCAAATTCAATTCAATCCAAAAGGCTACCAGAGATTGGCGTTGTTCTTGCATGACTCAGGGAACATGGCATCGCAAAGCAAGAACCTCCATACAGACATAGATGATAGCGGGGTTGATGAAGGCACAAAAGAGGGAAGCCTGTGTGGATTCAGTCCTGCCATCACCATCTCAGACAACTGAGGATTCATGGGAGTCCTCAAGATTTGTTGAAAATAACGCGATCTGTGTTTCTAAGTTTGATGAGATTCTTCTGGATCTCTGGAAACCAGTTGTCAAATATGAGTTTTCTCATCTCGTGACGACTGCAGGTTGTTGTAAATTTAAATTCTCACAGGAATTTGGTGGGGCATTTTTGGTGCAGTTGGAGAGACAGAAAATGGACATACATTTTATTCTGTGAGATTTTAGCTGAAGGAGGTGAGAAGTAGATAGTACTTCACCGAATTTATGGCATTGTGCTTTTCACTGACATGAGAGCTTCTCGTGCTAATAACTTGTTATAAAATCGACGGTGTGTACAGTGGAATAAATAAAATAAGACACAAAATTTATGAGGTTCCTCTACCGTCAGTGTGATTGGAGTATGTCTTTGAAGCAGTAGCAGTGGTGCTTTCATTATAATTTAGAATAATAGGAGTACAAAATAACTCTCTCTGTTATCTTCTCTCATTTTCCTCTCTGTTATCTCCTCTCCTCTTCCTCTCTTTTCTCTCTTCCTCTTCATGAACTTATTGCTTTGATGTTGTGTGGAGTTTGTATTTTATAGAAAATATGGGTCGTATGAGGCAAGCTTCGACAAATAGTAGAAGGGCCCATTATTTTATTCTTTGAGTGGACATCTACTGTTCTACAACATGCACCTCTTTATTGTTTTCGTACTTTTCAATCATTTTTTTTTTGTCAATGATCAATTTTTCAATTGTAGCATTTGACTTCCCACTTGTTATGTAGATATGGTCAAGCAAATCAAAACACAATCCCATAAGCTCTAACTTAAATGAAAAGGCAAAAATTTAAAAAAAAAAAAAAATTGGAAAAGTTGTAAATGGATAGCCACACTTGAACCACCGTGAAGACTTAATAGGATCCTAGTCAAGCAAACCAATCAAAGCAATTATTAGGCATCACCAAAAGAGGGAAACCATAATTCGAAAGGTTAGGGATCAATCATGGGTCGTTTAATCCCAAGGGCTAGTCAAAAACATAACTGCCCCTTTGCTTATTCTATTGCTAAACTAAATATAAGATGTCTGGCCATATTGAGAGCGAACCTTGATGCGATGAAATGTTACTTATTGTGACTGAAAAATCACATGTTGGCCTTTAGTTGCCCACTAAATGTCTGGCCATATTGAGAGCAAGCCTTGACGCAATGAAATGTTATTTTATTGTGACTGAAAAGTCACATGTTGGCCTTTGGTTGCTCTTTAAATGTCTGGCCACTTAATGATATAAAACCTCTTAAAAACATGAGACCTTTTATGTATTTTGTTGCTGTTCGATATGATAGATTTTAGACTCGTTTAGAACTGCTTTTAAAATGGGTGAAGCGCTTTTGTGAAAATATTTTTAGAAGAAGTACATAACTGTTACTTCTTGTAGGAAGCACTTTAAATGCTTTCAGAATACAAAAAAAATTCCTCTGAAAACGTTTTTAGTCATTTTAAACGTATTTCCAAAAGAGCTATTCATAATTAAGCACCCTTACTTATTTTTTTTTTATTACTTACTTTTTTCCCTTCCCTAACCCACAAAAAAAAACAAATATATATATATATATTGGGCCACCTGGTTTTAGGTTTTAGGTCCAATAAGAATGGATTCAGTGCAAAACAGGAGGCTGAAGAAGCCCACATGAAGCTCAGAGCCCTAGCATTTTAGACCTGGACTATCATCACCTGCCGGTAAAACTGCGAGCCCATCTCTGGCTTTGCGCCACCGCCCTTCGGTACTGCTCAGTGCTCACCATCAAAGTCCGTCGTCTTCTAGAGAGTAATCAATGGGATACATACAGGAAGCACGTGAGAATCACGTGAAGAAGAAGGTTGAAGAAGGTACGGTTGATGTACGCAAAGCTCAGACTCTAGGACTCTGAGTCTCAACAACTATTTTTCTTTAATTTTGTGCTAAAAATGTATAATCTGTCGTTATTGTGCTAAAAAAACGTATAATTTGTTATTTTCCTCTTAATTTTTGTGCTTAATAATGCATAATTTGTTGTTATTGTGCTAAAAAATTCATAATTTGGTGTTTAAATTACTGTTGAGACAGCATTGCGGAGCAAAATGAAGCACAAGGCGCTGCAGGAGTGCAAGGATTTGGCGTCAAAGTACGCCGAGTGCTCGTACGGAAGAACCATATCGGTCGTTTGGCAGTGCCGGCAGCAAGCCAAGGAATTGAACGAGTGCCTTCACCAATTGTAAGCCCCAATTCCTCGATTAATTTATTAATTACTTTATAATTTCACCCTGGTGATTCAATTTTTTCACAAAAAGAGCAAAGAAATGGTTTTTACTTTCAAACATGGTCTTATAAGATTATGAATGTTAAATGTTCAATGTGGGAGTGCTCTTACCAGCATTGTAATGGCTTTGTTGATGAGGGTTTGGTGTGATGCATAAATTGTTGTACCACTTGGGAAATTAGTTGGCTCCGATGTTTCACGAATACAGATTTGAAGAATCGGATACAAATGGGGGATGTATTGGGGGTGTATCTTAGTGTCCGAGTATCCGGACATATCTAGGGTGGCTCTGTATTTCTTTTGTGTAGGATCAGTCTTGACCGGCCATTATAAAAGTACCCGATGCATCATATTACTTGTTGTTGATATGGTGCTGCATAGTTTACTTAGTTTGGAACCAGTTGAGATGGTAGAGTGGTATTTTGGTTATGAGATTGGTAGTGGTGTTTGGGTTTGATTTCGATAAGTATGGTGACATTCTTCATTTCCCATGTTTTTCTCCTTTATTCAGAGTTAAATTTGGCTTTTGGGTTGTGTGCGTTGGTTTTCCAAAGTGTTTTCAGGCAACGGTTTTGGAAGCCTTGTAGGGAATTAGAGTGCTAGGTACAGTGTTGCATGAATTGTTTTCGTGTCCTATGTCGTGCGGTACCCATGAGTCGTGGAGATAGAAAAAGAATTCAGGGTTTCATGCAATCTGTTTCAACCGGGGTTTTGAATTTGCATTGAATTGTAGAGGAAGGCACTCTAGTTATAGAACAGGAAAAGTATCCCGTCTTTCTTACATCTGTTTAAGAGAGCACGACGAGAGAGAAGAGAACTTATGTTCGGTTGGCGCAGAGATACGCGCATGTTGTTTTTGTTGCTACTTATGATCCTTTTTGTAGTCTTTGAGTAAGAGAGACAATTTTGGATTGAACTTTACGCATATCCAACATACCTGTGCTTCTGCTGATGCATGTGAAATGCGTTGTTTTGATTTTTGCAGCACCAACGATGACGTCTTGGAGGAAATGAAGAGAGCGTACATGCTTCAACAAGACGGGAGGGTGCCTGCATAAGTCTCAGATCATCACTGGTTCATGACTTTGATGTAGAATTTTGTTATCGGAATTCTGGCAACGTCACTGGTTTTTTATTTTGATTTCCGTAATTCGGTTGATGCCAGGGGGTTGTGTTTAAAATATCCCCCGATGAACTTAATAAATGTAGAGATTTCCCAGAGTAAATTGGAGTAATAATCCCTCAATTTAATCTAATTGGAGCAATAGTCCTTCAACTAAAAATCCATTACCATTAAACCTTTAACTCATCAAAATGTGCAACTATAGCTTCTCAGCTAAAAATTGATTACCAATGTTCTCTCAACTTTAGTACAACTAGAAAAATGATCCCTCAATTGTAATCCAATTAGAGAAATGATCAATTGACTTTAATCTAATTGTACCAATGGTCCTTTTAACATAACTTATTTTGACAAAATTCTGATGAAGTTGACGAAAATAACCATAGCTACACATTTTAATGAGTTGAGAGATCAATAGTAATGGATTTTTAGTTGAGGGACCATTTCTCCAATTTGATTAAAATTGAGAGACCATTACTACAATTTACTCAGATTTCGCATCAATTGGGTAATATTTTATCGACTAATTTATCTAGAAATACATAAATAACTTAGCCTTGTATATATCGACTACTTCGAGTGCGAAAAATCCGAGCAATTCTGACTTAAAAAATTCTGCAAAACATCAAAACATGATCTAGCCGTTCGTTCGAACGACGTATCTCACACTACAATGCATGGTAGAAAAATGGATGGCTAGATTGAAAGACAGCATTGTATACAATGGTATAATTAACCCGTATAGTAAAAACTCGAAATTCTATTAATTGTTGAAAATTCAAGAACAGAGGCCAACAAAATCATATAATTCTTTTCCACCCTGGTTGAACCGATTCAACCTCGAAAACGAGTGGAAAATGCGAACCTCGAAAAGTTTTAGCCACACCAGATAAATAAATTACACAAATTCATCATAAGAAAAAACCCAGAGCAGATGCAAATTCAGATTCCCTCCTTAACAATCCTCAACAACTGCCCTCGGTCAGTTGCATTAAGCTAGTGTTTAAGTTGGCTTCCGCATGTTACGCCCAGCACGAATTACTTCATCGACCAACAACAGTTGAGATGCAATTACGGGCCTGCATAATATAGAAACGAACACCAGTGAGTTGCATAAACCGAAAAAGATCTGAAGAAAATGAGTTTCAAAATCATGCCGCGTACCCTGAGTTTATAATCTGTCGCTTCACAGAGTAGTTGTCAAAGATACCCTCCATCTGTGGATCAAGCGGTTCTCCAGTGTTGTGATTTAGTCCCACGACATTTCCCCGATCATGCTCTCCCTGAACAGGAATCCACATGTGATTATATTTCAATCACCTCAGGAAGGATAACGAAATGAAAAACTGATGAATTTTAAAGAAGTTAGTATACCGTAAGAGCAATTATCACATCTTGTGTATCGAGGCCAGAATTCTCAGCAAGTGTTTTGGGCACCACAAGAAGAGCATCAGCAAAAGCTTCAACACCGAGTTGAGCACGCTGTTTCAAGTAGAAAGATAAGAGGAGCTTAAAAAATTAATTCCCATAAGGGAATTTAGGAAAATATTTACTTACCCCTTTAACAGTTTTCTTTACTTCATTCACTAAATATTGTCTGGCTGCAACTTCAAAAGCTCCAGCACCCTGATTCACATATGAAAAATGTTTCGCGCATCACAATCTGATGTACATTCCAGAAGCCAAACTTACTAAGAAAAAAGATACGATGGGGAAATTTCTAGCTCAAACTTACTAAGATGACAGCTTCATCTTCAACTGTGTTTTTAACTGCCCTCAGGCCATCACGAACAGCATCCTTAATCTGAGCAATTGTATGGTCATTAGGCCCTGCACCATTAAGAGGAAATAAGGATTACATCACCACAGGACTTGCCAAAGGAAATAGAATGACTTATATCACGTAATCCTTACTATGAGATGGGTACAGCATAAATTACTAACTCCCGGGTAGAATAACCAAAGAATATTTATATTTTGCAGAATGGTGAAAATACCAATGGAGTACCTTTGATTAAGATTGTGCAAGAGTGGGGATTCTTCACATTTTCAACAAATGTATACTTCTCTTCACCAAGGACATGCTCGTATACAAGTCCAGCCCAACCAAGGCAATCAGGAGTTAAATCATCTACGGAGTTTACAGCCTCCCCGCCACAAGCCAAAACCAACCGTTCCATATTTCTCCTCTTTGCTCTTCTCAGGGCAATAATCTAAGAAACCGCGGAATTAGAAAAGTACCAAACAAGTTGCACTGAATCAGTGAGTGCAAAACACAACACCAATAAAAAATGTGGTGTCTGTCTGACATATATCTTGGAAAATAACTGGAAAGAAATCTAAAATAATGATCCATGACTTACCCCTGCCCTTGCGAGAAGGTCCAGAGATGGGGGATCAATTCCCTTCTGATTGATAACGACAAAGTTATTATCATTACCAGAGCAAACCTGCAAATCATCCAATGCAGGAAATATTTCAGAATATGTAATGTCGATACGCTAGGGTGAGTGCTAAATCAATATCAAGCAACCAGCATCAATAGCAACACTCTACCTTATTTTTCAGGTCAATGATTTTTTTAACTCTTTCGTCAACCTGGCGCCTTTCAGCTAAAACCATTGCTTCTCTCTGCTCCGCATTTGAATAGAAAAAGCCTGAGTTTACTTCACTGAGATGAAAGCCATCAAATTCATAATGATCAGGAAATCATATCCAATATTCAACACGCCTTTGGAAAAAAGCACAGTTACATAAAGACATATTCTAACATTATTGTGTTAGTAAAAGAGAATGAGTGTGAAAGTGAGAGGAGGAAGGGAGAAACTATTGATGAGAAAATCTAACTATCATTTGAACAAATTTCTCTATATTTACCTTTTGTCATATTCCAAAGATACATTGCTTGTCAAAATGAAACAATTCTCTGCTCTCCGCTTCATATCAGGATGCCTAGAACCGTGATCGAGAACAAGACCCTCAACCTACAAGACAACATGAATGAGATGAAAAACCACAGGATAATGACACATTCTTCTATTTGTAACCATTTGTAACCAAACCTATTGCACCATGCTCATAAATTAAAATTTAAACTGGTCCTAGGCAGTACTATCATAATTTACAATTTCATCATTGGTACTTGGAACTAAGAAAGAAAAACTAAAGCACTATGAAACCACCAACATAAGTAGAAAGGAGGTGAACAAATGAATATGCTTCTGCGCAAATTATTATTCAATGTTACCACCAAAAGAAACAATTATAGCACTACGATACAATCAATTGACGCAAATAGTAACACCAGAAAATATACATATCATTTGCAGAGCCTTAGCAGAAGATTGAGGACCCAATGTCCATATTACTGCCTCTTAGAATTCATCAAGAGATAAGGAGTATCTAAAACGTAGAATAGAGGACAATAACATACCAAGCGTGTGTCTACATCAAATTTGTGTCGCATGTGCATAATCTCCACCATGAACAGATCAATGGGCTCCTCAGGTTTGCGGATGCAAAGAACCTGTCATTTGTAAAACCCCACTTTTGTCAAACATCAAGATGCAAAGGTCTATGACCTATTCTAGATTCCATAAGAATGAAAACAAAATTAGAAGCATGTGTGCAAAAGCAACCTTTCAAGTATTCTTACATAAACCACAAACACTCACCGAATTAACAACTATGTCAGTCAATTGATCTGCCAATGCTTCATATAACTGCACAACAGAATATGTCATATTTAATATATAATGTGTAAAAGAATTCCATTTTCTCTGAGCTGCACGAAAAGCCTAGGAGTAAACCTCACTCTGCCCAAAACCATTTAGACAGAAAGCATAATACAAACAAAATACTACATACCTTTGTTCGCAATGTTGTTCTTGCTACCATTTTCAAAATCTCTTTGTCAGGCTCATCGCCCATCACCACAGGAGTTTTGAATTTCTCAAGAAACTGCAGCGTTGCTCTTTTGGCTATCTCAAAACCATCAACCAGGACACGGGGATGCATCCCTGGAACAAGCATAAAGTCACTATTATGAAGTGCACAAAACACAAAAATAAGTAAATTAAATAAATAGACTGACTTGGGGAACATTTCAGAACTACAAGGTGCAAAGATCTAGACTTTTATCCTTATATGAAGAACCAGGTCAAATTGTCCGTAAATGATTACAGGTAACAGTGAGTCTGTAGCAACCAACCTTCGTCAATGTATCGTTCTGATTGTTTCATAAGCTCGCCAATGAACAAGACAGTAGACGTGGTGCCATCTCCGCTAATGTCATCTTGGGCAACAGCTGTACGCGCAATCATAATTGCCGTTGGGTTTTGAATTTGCTGCAACCATTTGACAGAACATCAATGAATACGCCAAACGCAAAACATATCCAAAAATAATAAACATATTTAACACTAAACCGCATACAACCAATTTCAGAAAACCCTAACCTCCGTCGAATGCACCTCTGTATTCTCACATTTGAAGCAATCAAGTCAATAACAAAAGCAATCAACTTTGAGAGTTTTTAAACTTCTCAACAAAACCAAACAGTGCCGTTGGATTTCGCATTTCAATCAAATCGATAAATCCTTAAACCCTAATTTTAGCACACTCCAAACAACTAATGACCGCACAAACCAAAGATCTAGGGTTTCATAAACGAAAACCCATACCATTTCTTTGAGCAGAGTGTTGCCATCCTTAGTGAGCTTAATGTCGCCGGCTCCGCCAACAAGCCTAGAAAAATTATCAGAAAAATGTGAGAAAAATAGAAAACTTAAATAAAAAAAAATTAAAAAAAAAAAAGCAGTGTGATTTTTGCTCACATTTTGATGGTGCCCTTGGGGCCGAGGTTGGTCTTGAGGACGTCCTGCAAGCCCTTGGCGGCGTTGATGTTCATGTGTAGCGCCGCCGATTTGTTCAGCACCTCCGCATTCGGATTCAGCACTCGAATCGACATCCTTTTACTTCTCCTTCTCCTTCTTCTGCTCAGATGAAATCCAAGTGGCGGAGAGTGCGAGTTTCTGAAAGCTCTTGGGAGTTCCGGAAGAAGTAGAAGCTCGAAAACTGTATGCTTTTATGAATCGCAGAGTGCGGGATTTTTTTAGGGCTTTCTGGAGTGGGGTGTGTGGTTTTTTTTTTTTTTTTTTTTTTGGAGTTTTCTTTTAACTTTTTTCCTTTCCTCAAAACGTTGCCGTTTACGCTTTTTGTAACGGGCCAAATGGATCTTTCCGTTGGTTTACAGGCCGACTAAATAGACCGATCCAAAAATCCAAATTCCAAGGAAAAAATGGGCCACAAAAAAAAAAAAACCCAATTCCTTCTCTCTTCCGATTCTCCTCTTTGTTTGTCAAGGCTTCGAAAGAACTGTTCGATCAACTCGATCATTTCATTCGTGACAACACAAATATCTGCAAACTGTGGCTTTTTTTAAGAAGGAAGCCGTAGGACCGACGAAATATCTCTCCATACATTACATTTTTACCAAGAAAATTTGCATTTGTAAGGTAATTTTAATACTTGGCATTTTTGTTGTGCACTGTTCAAAATTCGACATTCAAAGTAGGAAAAAGAAAATTTATGCATAAATTAGGGATCTCAATTAACTTTTATAACTTAATTGAGGGTTATGATGGGCATAAGATAAGAACCAAAGCATTAATTAACAAATAAATGAATTGGGGTTTTCCCATAAACTACTGTTAAAATCCTTTTCCAAATTAGAAACCCTAATGTCGTCCCTAAAGATTGGAGTTGCTGTCACAAATCTAAAACCACCATAGACAATAGTAAGCGGAGAATGCTTGCAACCTTTTCATACATTCAGATATAAATCTCCTTCTACTTTTTCAATTTTTTTTTTAACAATCCTACGATGTTGCTTGATGATAACAACTTAATATGGTCTAATAATATCGTTCATGACATAGAATTTGTCAATATCCAGCTCCTTTCATTGCGTGATGCAATAGTGGGATGGGTCAAAAAGGAGGAGGAGAAGTGAAAGAGAGAGAATAACTTCAAAAGATAAAGATGGCTGCTCATCCATTCCTTCATGCATGGTGGGGGATGAGAAAGACTTGTTTCTGACTTTCTGTTAGGAATTTGAGGATGAAAGAATCTGAAACTTTGACCGCGAGTAATAATGCATGTGACTTATGAACAATGAGAATATGAACCATCGTGTGGAATCCGTGTACATGGATTTGCTGAGGTGGGAAGAGATCTACACCGGATCTCTCCCACCAAATATCCTAGGGATCCAAAGATCCGGATTCATGAAATTTAGCTACAATTATTATAACTTTTAGAAAAGCCTCTGTTTGTAGTCGTTAGATCAAATTTTAAGGGTCTAAATGGAGAGATCCGGAAGGGATCTCTTCCCTGCTGAGTTATGTGGATTTATGACGACTCAGTTCAATGGGCTAGAAGATAGGTTTTAAATATATATATATATATATATATCTCTCTCTCTCTCTCTCTTATCAATGGTTAGATTTTTCTGGCCTAGTAACCGACTTAATGTTGATCATTTTTTAAGGCAAGGTTCGTCTTGCTAGAAAATTCTAGAATGGATACCAATCCTTATCATAGATTAGGTGCAGTGAACATCTGAATGTACCATGAGAGTGAATATTATATCAAGATTTTGACAACAAAAATATCATATCAAGAAAAAGAATTTTACATGTGATTATAAGACAATAAAAAATCTAACGGATAAGAATTCTGATAAAAATTCTATCATCTGATCTATATTAGAAGGAAAAACCTCTCATTTTATTTTATGTATATAGTAATTTTTAGATTTTCGGCTTTAAAATTTTGTCACATAGGACTCATATACTTTTGCAAAAAATAATTTTATGTTATCATTTTAAATAATCTATAGTAACAAGCTTCGAACTTGAATATAGAAAATAGTCTGTATTGTTGAGAATGAGTTCCACATTGATGGAAGGAGCGAACTTGCATATGCTTATAAGAGGTTGGACTACTTTCCCATTATTGACAATTAGTTTTATGGTGGAACCTCAACTTTCTTCATGGTATCAGAGCCATGTTGTCCTACGTGTGAAGCCAAACAGTCACCGACACTATGGGGAATAACTCAATCTCTACACGTACAATTTATAAAATAAATGACTAAACTCAAGTAAAGTGTCTATAATTTCAAAAGAAAATTATCAATTGACAACTTTCAAATTTTCTATGAACCGTACGTTGTATATCACCATGCACGAGCTTTATATAAAAGTCTAATAGTACTGTGGAATAATAATGACGCGCATGCATAAAGATGGACGGACGGCAAATATTCCAGCTGAGGCAAGTACGATATATATAAAGAACAAAATCTTAATTCCAAGAAGTTCCTTCCAAATGGTATTGATTCCTTTCCACTTATGTGTTCTCTTCGGTCCTTTTATTTTTTCCTTTTTTGGGACAACTTGAACAGAAAGATACAAATAGTCAACCAAAGTTCGATTTCCAAATTCCATAAACTGAAAGATTTATGGAAGAAATTCAAAATTGAAATTAAGAAAAATGAGATGATTAATTGCAATATTGCATGAAGTTACAGAGAACTCAGTTCCAATAATTACTCAATAAATTTGGAATTCTTTTTCCGTTAAACTCCAGTAGATTTCAAGTTAATAAAAAATGAGGGAATATAAGTTGAGCATAAAGACTAAAGAGTCAGAAAGCAAGTGATGAGAAGAAAGACGATAAGATATTTGAAGAATAAAATTGACTGGCCATTTGCATGTGGGTTGAATTTTAAGAATATTCATATTCTAGAAGAAAAAAAAAACATTAATGAAAAATGTTTGGAAATTTTGAGTTTTAATGATAAGGACAAAATAAAGAGTAAAATGAATAGTACCAGGATTGACTTTTTAGTGTAAAAATATGATTTTTCGTTAAAGTGAACAGTACCGGAAGCTTTTCGTTAAAGTTCCCAAAAAAATATGAAGCAAGGCAACTTTCCATTACCAAACAACCAGAGATTTCCAGGAAAAGGGTTAGTTTTAGTGCGTGTTTTTATCCTTTTTCCAAGAATTCTAATGCATGTTTTGTGTTTCGGGTACACTAAAAAATTTCATGTTTTGATGAATTGTCCGACTCAATCGTCACTTGTCATCCCACTCTTGCAAACCACTTTCAGGTATCAACATGGCTGATTATTAGTTGACCTTTTATTTCAGTTTTTAGATAACTTAACGCTTTAATAAAATCAATGAAAAAGAAAACTTGGTGAGGGAAGTGATGATAACTTAACGCTTTAATAAAATCAACAAAAAAGAAAATGCTAACAGAATAATTGGACAGCATAAAGTAGAAGGCAATTTCGTTGTCTTAAAATATCGTTACCTTGGTGAGTTGGACCAATTAATCACAATAGTGTGTTCGTCTTTACAAACAATTTTAAATCTCCCTCTATGTAAAACAAAATAAGAAATTTTAATTTTGAGAGCTGACTAATTCTAGCTCAGATTGGATGAGAATAATCTGCATGACAACTAGCATATGCTGAGTTAAAATCCCACTTTTCAGATAAAAAGAAGGGAAACTTTAATTCTTTCAGATGAGTGATGCTTTCTCATTTTCTATATAAGGACCTTGTACGTGCCGAAGTAAACCACATTCACATCCCCTGATCCACAAACATCTTATGAATTTAGAAGAAATATGGCAGCCATATCTCTTGATCCACGGCTTAACCTCCAAGCAACTAAAAACCCTAACCAACATGGAGTTATACTCGAAGAAATCGAAGGCCTCATCCGAGTTCACAAAGACGGATACATCGAAAGGCCTCTGATGATCCCAAGTGTCCCCAGCACTCTAGCTCTACCACCTGGTGTTACGGCCAAAGACGTTGTCATTGACAAATTTACCAATTTATGGGCACGCATTTATGTTCCAAGCCACCCGGGAAACCTCCCCGTGATTGTCTACTTCCATGGCGGCGGATTTTGTGTTGGATCTGCTGCTTGGAGCTGTTACCATGATTTCCTAGCCAAACTTGCTTCACAAGCAAGTTGTGTCATCATCTCTGTGAATTACCGTTTAGCCCCTGAAAGCCGTCTCCCTGCTGCTTATGATGACGGATTCAAAACCCTTATGTGGGTAAAACAACAAGCTCTGAGTGAGTCTACTGAGCAAAAATGGTGGTTAAGTAAGTGCAACTTGTCCAGCTTGTTCATAGGTGGTGATAGTGCAGGGGCTAACATAGCCTACAATGTCACCACACAGGTAGGTTCATGTGACCCCTCCATTTTAAGGCCATTGAGTCTCAAAGGCACCGTCTTGATCCAACCCTTTTTCGGAGGAGAGGCTCGAACTTGGTCCGAAAAATGTGCAACTCAGCCACCATACTCCGCCCTAAGTCTGTCAAGTTCAGACACATATTGGCGGCTGTCTCTTCCGTTAGGGGCCAGCAGAGACCATCCGTGGTGCAACCCTCTAGTGAACGCCAGCGTGGCCAAATTGCGCGATTTAAGGCTCCCAAGCATGATGGTATGCGTATCAGAATTGGATATATTGAAGGATAGGAATTTTGAGTTGTGCAACGCATTGAGTAGCATTGGGACAAGGGTGGAAACTGTACTGTACAAAGGAGTTGGCCATGCATTCCAAGTTCTGCATAACTCTCAGCTCTCTTATTCACGGACACAAGAATTGATATCTCACATCAAGGCCTTCATGATCAAGCAATAATAGCTATTTCATGGATTTCTTTTTCTAGTTTGATATTTTATTAGGGTATTGTTTGTATATTATGCTGAAAGTAACTCATTATTGAAACTTGTTAATTAATGTATTACATAATTTTCTTCTCATATACAAAAACATATGTATTATCTTCTATATATGCTTAATGATAATAAACATTGGTCTCTTGATTCTTTTATTTTTATATTACATACTCTTGACTTCGGATGCAAGAAAATAATATTTATGTCATATATATCGATTAAAT